TGCTATACTCAGTGACAGAGATTCGGCTCCACCTGTGGCCATCAGGGGCCCAGGGTGAGACACAGGTGATACTGCTGAGAGAGATAAAGCTGCCAAAGAGTGGACCGAAGATAAACTCCACTTCCAACAATTCAAGGCACCTGCCTCTTTCTTAAGCCAAAGACACCAAAGGATGTGAGCTAGACTGTTAGAGGCTATAGAGGGGCCAGCTCCATTGGCAGGAGGCAGTGCAGAATCTCAGCACCACCAATACCTAATAGCTTAGCCCCTTGACACTGAGACCAAGATTAGCTTCTCTGCATTTGGGAAGTCTCCTCCCAGTGGTATTTGAAAGCGCCGTGGTTGGTACAGACCGGTGTTTTTTTGTGTCTCTCACAGTAGAGAAAGAGCAGTACCTCCTCAGAAGAGCTCTTACTCATAATCCTTTTAAGCTTTTTTTTTATTATTATATATGGTTTACGGTTTCATATGGTTATTGGTCCAAGTTAGTTTAAAGCCCAATTACAACTATGGGATTTTGTATTTTATTTTACACAGGTAACCTGCATAAATTTTTTTTTTTTTTATGAAGTCTATGTATTTTGTACTGCAAAGAGCTGCCTGATTTGCCAGAGCATTCAAAAGCTGGAACACTGCACAGGAGATCGACAATCATTCTCTGATCAGCGCTCCAACCAACAGTAATCACGCTCCTTAAGAATGGAGTACTGTGCTTTATGTTTGTTGCTTTACAGATAAGCAGTAACAACTGCCTTTTCAATGGTCAATGTAATTGCTTCAGTGGCTATTAAAAAGCACTCAATTAGACAGAGGGATGGCAATTTTCAGAGCTTAACGTGAAGCAGGTGCTGGTAACAAACATTTAAAGTAATTCTATGGTTTGAATAATATTGTTAAAGTGACCATGACACAAACCTGGGCACAGCAAAAGAAGAATAGGATTTAAAAAGGCATAAACAGAGGTTATCCTTGGTGAATGTGAAGTTACAACCACATATTCATTATCCTATAAAAGCTGGGTTTTGCCAATGTCCCTCCCGATTTAACTATTAGTCAAAGTCTAGTAAGTACCGTATTTTCCGGCGTATAAGACGACTGGGCGTATAAGACGACCCCCTACTTTTCCTGTTAAAATATAGGGTTTGAGCTATACTCGCCGTATAAGACTACCCCTCTTCCAACGCACACCAAATAAAAATGAAAAACATCAGATATAATTTCAATATGGTATGCTATTTCAGTATGGAATTCCAATGATGGGGTGCTATTCCTCCCACTGACACCAATGATGAGGCACTACTCCTCCCACTGACACCAATGATGGGGCACTATTTCATCCACTGACACCAATGATGGGGCACTATTCCTCCCACTGATACCAATGATGGGACACTATTCCTCCCACTGACACCAATGATGGTGCCCCATCATTAGTGTCAGTGTGTAAGGAATAGTGCCCCATCATTAGTGTCAGTGTGTAAGGAATAGTGCCCCATCATTAGTCAGTGGGAGGAATAGTGCCCCATCATTAGTCAGTGGGAGGAATAGTGCCCCATCATTAGTCAGTGGGAGGAATAGTGCCCCATCATTGGTGTCAGTGGGAGGAATAGTGCCCCATCATTGGTATCAGTGGGAGGAATAGTGCCCCATCATTAGTCAGTGGGAGGAATAGTGCCCCATCATTGGTGTCAGTGGGAAGAATCGTGCCCCATCATTGGTGTCAGTGGGAGGAATAGTGTCCCATCATTGGTGTCAGTGGGAGGAATAGTGTCCCATCATTAGTGTCAGTGGGAGGAATAGTGTCCCATCATTGGTGTCAGTGGGAGGAATAGTGCTCCATCATTGGTGTCAGTGGGAGGAATAGCGGCCCATCATTGGTATCAGTGGGAGGAATAGCACCCCATCATTGGTATCAGTGGGAGGAATAGCACCCCATCATTGGTGTCAGTGGGAGGAATAGCGCCCCATCATTGGTGTCAGTGGGAGGAATAGCACCCCATCATTGGTGCCAGTGGGAGGAATAGTGCCCCATCATTGGTATCAGTGGCAGGAATTGCGCCCCATCATTGGTGTCAGTGGGGAGAATAGCGCCCCATCATTGGTATCAGTGGCAGGAATTGCGCCCCATCATTGGTGTCAGTGGGGAGAATAGTGCTCCATCATTGGTGTCAGTGGGAGGAATAGCGGCCCATCATTGGTATCAGTGGGAGGAATAGCACCCCATCATTGGTATCAGTGGGAGGAATAGCACCCCATCATTGGTGTCAGTGGGAGGAATAGCGCCCCATCATTGGTGTCAGTGGGAGGAATAGCACCCCATCATTGGTGCCAGTGGGAGGAATAGTGCCCCATCATTGGTATCAGTGGCAGGAATTGCGCCCCATCATTGGTGTCAGTGGGGAGAATAGCGCCCCATCATTGGTATCAGTGGCAGGAATTGCGCCCCATCATTGGTGTCAGTGGGAGGAATTGCGCCCCATCATTGGTGTCAGTGGGAGGAATTGCGCCCCATCATTGGTGTCAGTTGGAGGAATTGCGCCCCATCATTGGTGTCAGTGGGAGGAATTGCGCCCCATCATTGGTATCAGTGGGGAGAATAGTGCCCCATCATTGGTGTCAGTGGGAGGAATTGCGCCCCATCATTGGTGTCAGTGGGGAGAATAGTGCCCCATCATTGGTGTCAGTGGGGAGGAGGAATAGTGCCCCATTGTTGGTGTCAGTGGGGAGGAGAAGTAGTGCCCCATCGTTGGTATCAGTGGGGAGAATAGTGCCCCATCATTGGTGTCAGTGGGAGGAATTGCGCCCCATCATTGGTGTCAGTGGGGAGGAGGAATAGTGCCCCATTGTTGGTGTCAGTGGGGAGGAGAAGTAGTGCCCCATCGTTGGTATCAGTGGGAGGAATAGTGCCCCATCGTTGGTATCAGTGGGAGGAATAGTGCCCCATCGTTGGTGTCAGTGGGAGGAATAGTGCCCCATCATTGGTGTCAGTGGGGGAGGAATAGTGCCCCATCATTGGTATCAGTGGGGAGAATAGTGCCCCATCATTGGTATCAGTGGGGAGGAGGAATAGTGCCCCATCATTGGTATCAGTTGGGAGAACAGTGCCTCATCGTTGGTGTCAGTGGGGGAGGAACAGTGCCTCATCGTTGGTGTCAGTGGGGGAGGAACAGTGTCTCATCGTTGGTGTCAGTGGGGGAGAGGAGGAGCGGCTGCTCCTTCTTCCAGTTCGGCCGCTCGATTTTCGCGGGGCCGCTCGGCTCCGCCTCCTCGCTGGTGATTGGTCGCCTGTGTGCCTTTCCAGTGCTGGCGCCCAATCACCGGTGAGGAGGCGGAGCCGAGCGGGCCGCGTGACCATCAAGCGGCCGAACTGAAAGAAGGAGCAGCCGCGCTTCCTGGACCGGATTGTCGTGGGACCGGAGCCAGGTAAGGTACAGCAGCCCCTCTGCCCACTCCTGTACTTAGTGTCCGTTGGAGGAGGAGGGGGGGCGGCGCCGCGCCGCCCCTCGAAAAAGTGCCGCCCTGACACCGGCTCGCACCGGCGTATAAGACGACCCCCGACTTTTCAGAAGATTTTCAGGGGTTGAAAAGTTGTCTTATACGCCGGAAAATACGGTAAATTAAAAAAAAAAAAGAGAAAAAAAAAAAAAAAACCGGGAGACCTGGGAATAAGTGAAAGTGGATTTGCATATAACATCAGCTACCAATCCAAGGTTTACCAAGCGGAATCCCTTGATTATGCATGTTTGCATTGCCCAGATTTGTAACAGGTTTACTTCCAGTTAATGAGCATTTTCTTGAAAAATTGCAATTGTGAAATGTTTTGTCATCAGCATTCTTGGGCAGCTCTCCCTCTTCATTTCATTAAGAAAACTGCCACAGCTTAGCTGACCTAAGCCATTCCATCCTGGTTGAGGCTTACATTGCTCTTTAAGTGGGAGGCTAAATGCCTTAGACTTTCATAATAAACATCCTGCTTATAATACAAATTTGTATGTTAACCTGTGGGCTGACCAGGCATAATTCAGGTTTAATTGAAAAGGCCTTTAACTTTACAAAGCGAATCTGGATTGATATACTTGAAAGAAGCTGCAATTATTTAGCATAATTATTTTATACTTGTAACAATTTGCATTCTGCAACAAAGTGCAATCATTCCCAAATAACATTTAGTCCTCATGCACAATGGAATTCTACCGATTGACTTGTGTACAACTGGACTGTTGGAAAGTTTCCACATGATCAGCGCCCGTAGCTCTAGCTGGCATTGTTGATCAGTGTATTCTGACAAAAAGAAAGTCTCCCCACTGTCAGAATACAATAACTTAACTGGAGAAATTCCCCCATCCACAGAGTATGTGGATGGAGGAATATTCCTATTGGTGTTAAACCCGTACAGGCTGCTTAGGAGTAAAATATCTTGTGAGCTGATAATTTCTATTTCACTAGGAAGGGTTAATATTGGGGGTGGGAGGGTAGAAGAAGGCTGTATCTTTTGTAATCCATCAGAAAAAAAAAAAAAAGTAGGAAAGGTTGACAACCATGTGCTTTGGAATTATGAGATAAAAAATAATTTTAAATTACATTTTCAATTTTTTTGAACAGCGTTCTTTAAAATAGCATCTGGTGATTTTGTCTTGAAGGTATTTCTTCAGGCGCTTCACGTTATACAGTGACAATGCCCCTATTGTCTTCATATCACATAGACTTTTAACAGACCCCAAATGACCATTTCCCGCTACGCAGTCCTGGTCATACAGCAGTCAATGGAGTGCATGCATATAGACAGGAAGTGGCTATAAAAAGGTTTCAAGAAAATCAGTAGCACTAAGATAAGCAACATAAGGTGAAAACAAGTATTAAGAAAGAAAATATGGCAATTGTTTATGGTAAACAGTGCTTTAGTAAATTAAAAATCATTTAGTCAGGATAACAGTATTTTTTATCTTACTTTTTGCAGAGTTCGGGTAACGTTTTCTACTACTAAGAAGAACCTCACCTACCTGTGTACTAAGACTCAAAAGGCAGATCTTTCCAGAATTAATAACTTGTCTCACTGAATCAACACTGGTGCCATACAGGTTTTTCTCAAATTCCCCATGCTCAATGAATTTGCCAGCCATGATGTCAGCTTCAAACGTTTGTCTCGAAACGAAGTGATAATCTCGACTTGCTACTTCATTATCTCTTCGACTTCGAGAAGTATCTGCAAAAACAGAGCACAGCAGCCAGATTAAGGAAAAATGCCAAGTGAATTTAAGCCACATCTGGGTCTAAAGCACTACGATCAAATCAATCCTGGGTGGAGCGGTTCATTAGGTCAAACCACAGCTTAATTAAATCGGAACTAAACCCTCCTAGCCTTTTTAGACAAGGAAGCTGCCATCTTAGCCACTGATCTACAACTGCCATGGTGCTACACATGTGATCAGTTATGACACCAACCATCTGATGGTTTGACAGTTTGGTTAAAAGCACAAGCAAATGTGATAGCATTTCGGGAATACAACTGTGTTTTTAAACCGATGGGTTTAGTTCCGCTTTAATGGCCAACTTTACCCAAAGCATATATCTGCTCTGGAAGCACCTGTAGGTTTAGTTTTGAAAGTATATATGCATCCTGCATTTCCCTGTTTGTTGCTCAAAATAACAAAAAAATCCATCAGTTGAACACAACACTATTAATCAGTATGACCATGGCCAGTTGGCAGTCATCCCACCACTGGATCCTCTGAGAGATGTGATTCAATTTGGCAGCAATCACCAAAACCTGAAATTACTTCTAGCTTCCAAGAAAAAAGTGCTGTCTCTATGATGTCTTGGCTCTTTTTTGAAAATAAGATTGATGAGCTGGACTGACTTGGTAACTGGTTTGCCAAACAGACACTCACAAAACTGAATAGGCATCTCTGGCAGAGTCTCCCCTGACATGTCATCCTCAACAAAGCTGATTTTGCAAATTAATTTAAAAAGTTCATGGCCCTTCCAAATGGGAGAAAGTGTGGCTTCCACATACATTAGCGAATGCAAACATCTGTTAATAATGTATATTGTTACACAGTTCTCTTTGTTTTTCTGCTAGCTAGCTGGTAAATGTGCTAGAAAAAAAAACTGCTTTGGTTTGTTCTGTGCAAAGCCCTAGCACAAGAAGCCAGTCAGACAGCAAGTACAAGCAAATCCAAGGGTAAGAGCCACCAAAAGGGACATGAGAAGTCAAACAGGCAAGAAGTAAAAGGCACGGGGGAAGGGGCATGGAGGCAAAGCAAGAATACTGCTGTGGCAAAGAATGCCAAAAGGGAGATCCCTAAAAAGGCATGGCTCCTTTTGGGGCATGCTGATCCCATCCTTGGCTAAGACACAGGCTGAGAATCCCAGAAGGTCAAGAGAGGGGAAAGCTGGCAGCGCAAAAATAAAGATAAGGCACAGTAACCCTAATGCTTACCAAATCTCCCCATCTGTCTATGGGCAGGCTGGAGGGGAAAATTTCTGATGAAATATCTTTATTACACAGGGGGCTGAGAGATTCGTGGTAGGAATCCAACAAGTCTCCTCCATTTTCTGAAAGCGCATTTAAAGTCCTACATGCGGGTGCTAGCTAGTGAAGAAACGTGTGGAACTGCAATGTTAGGGCATGTGTTGGCGCATTGCCAGCAAATACAAAATGTGCATGAAATTTACTGTCAGCGAGTGAAGTGTGCGGTGGTGCAATAAAGTTTAGTCCTTACAGTCAATTAAATGAAGGCGTCCCCTTAAGAAATTAGAATTCAAGATTAGTTTAACCTAGAATTGATGCATGGTATTGGGACTGGGCCTTTGGAAAGGACAAGGAAATGTAAGACTTGTTAAAGCCCCTTTCACACTGATCAGCTGCAGTGTACCCGTGGTTTTCATGCAGGCTACATGCGCTTTGCCACAGACTTCCATTAGAATAGTTTTGGTGCATTTTCTGAAAGCGCAGCAAAAGTCCTGCATGAGGTGCTGGCTAATGCAGAAATGTGTAGAAGTGCGAAGTTAGGGCATGTCTGTTAGCATGTTACCGGCAATAACAAATGTGCATGCAGTTTACAGTCAATGAGTTAAGTGTACGGTGGTGCAGTGTCAGCTAGTGCAAAGTGCAATAAAGTGTAGTGGTGGCAAGCAAGATCCTTCTTGTAGGTGGTGACGGTGGCCAGGGTCTTGTGTAACGGTGCAGTGCTGGAAAGTAGGGTCCTACCAAAAATGTGAATCAAGCCAATGGTATCTTACCCACTCACTTGGATTTTGCTTTACATTATTACAGGTCTACTAATTGTTCACAGCTAAGAACAGAAAAGAATATCCACCATTTTAGGTCTGTAAATACTCACAACAAATGTATTAGCACAGGTACTAACACTTTATCAAAATGCTTGAGGATACAAAAAATGGCGAGTGCCACTGCTGTTTGTGTTTAAAACATGCAGTTTCCAGAAAGGTCATGTGGACTTCCTCCTTCACTATCTATAGAGTCACTGACCTGGATCAAGCAATCGTCCACTAAAGTCAAGACTCCAGATATGAAAGCTTGTTCTACATCAGTAACTTAAAACTACTGTAGTGATCTACATCTATCTGCATGACAGCCTGGTAAATAAGATTTGAAGGAGAAGTTAAGACTAATTAGGCCTAGCAATTTCAGTAAGAATGGAAAGATAACAGAATATTTGTAGTTTCTGTAAAATCCATTTCCTGGGGTTTATTGAGGGAGAGAGGATATCAGACTGGCGGGTTATAATGCCACCCACAGGAGGGTTGGACACTGGCCAAAAAAAAAAAAAAAAAAAAAAAGTGAGCTGGCTCAGTATAACCCCTCCTACTCCTAAGCATGCCTCATTTTTGTTGCTTAGCAGTACCAAGAATACGCTCATAAACAGAGGGGTTGGGACATGCGTCCCTCAACCTCCCAAGAAATAATTTTGTAGCTAATAGAAACGTAGCATTTTCACAATTATTGAGGTACACAGGAATTGGACATCCAAAAGCAGTCCAACTGAGGGATGGGCAATAGCAACAAAACATTAACAGATTCACACAAAAAAAACAACAGAACTAGAGATTGCCTGCAGTTCAAGGGGATGTCAAAAGGACCCTAGGCTTATAGGAAGCATCAGGTGTGGCATGAACATCCACCTAGTGGAATGTAGGGAACATGTGAACAAAACACCAGGTGGCATCCTTACATATCAGCCTGATGCCATAAAGCATTCACAGGTCTAGTAGAGAGTGAAAGGTTGAAACCCGATTCTTAAGCCCATAAGCTTGCTTGTCTGAGCCACAGAGAAATGATGCAGCAAGAAGATGGATTTACCTTATGAAGACCCTCCGAAATGACAAATAGAGAGTCTGACTTTCCAACAGAAGCAGGGACTGTGAGGAAATCCTGTAAGACAAACTATATTTAAGCGATGGAGGGAGATCTATGGATGAACCAGAGCAGGACAGAGGGATGGAAGAACCATGTCCTGGTGAAAGGCTGAAACTACCTACCTAACAAGTTCTGGACCTTAATACCACTTTGTCCCCAAGTCGTCAGCTCAGACACTCACCTTACAGAGGTTATGGCAAACAGAGAAAAACTTTGTGATAAAAGAATGGACAAGAGAAATCCCCCTGATCAGTTCAATCAACAGTCTTTGGGAAGCCGAAAGAACCAAAATCAGATTCCTTGGAGTCATGGGGGAGTGCATGGGGAAGCCACATGGGAGACACCTTGTACAAAGGTTTTAAGCACTTAGGTACTGAGTAGGATGCCAGTGGTCTATAAAACAAGACTACAAGTGCCAAGATCTGACCCTTGATGTTAAGGGCCAAAGGCTGGACCAGGCTTGGGTGTTAAAAGGCCAGGATTTGTCCCACTGAATATTTTGGCATGACTATTTTCTTTCCCTTATTGTTAGTAGACTTCCTTGCTTTTAGCATCATGGAGACATGCCTTCTCGGAGCACAGGCTTTAACAGCCATGCCAATAACGCCAGTGACCTTGAAGTAGCAAAGTAAACCAGTCTTTATTTGCTGTGTGTGTAGCAGCCATTTTGTCTTCGTCACCAGTCTCCTATGCCATTTCTTCATAAGAAAGAATTGCACATCCCTATGCTAGGAGGTGCCTCCACACCCTCCTATGAGAAATAGATGTCCGAGACCTGCCATACAATGGATTGTACAGGGCCAGGGAAGCTGGTCAGAGTTGATGGGAAGATGGATGGAGCCAAATACAGGGCAACCAGTCAAAGTCCAGACCTAAATCCAATTGAAAATCTGTGGAAGACTTGAAAATTGCTGTTCAAAAACGCTCTCCATCCAATCTGACAGAGCTTGAGCTATTTTGCAAATTATAATGGGCAAAAATGTCACCCTCTAGATGTGAAAAGCTGGTAGAGACATACCCAAAAAGACTTCCAGCTGTAACTGCAGCGAAAGGTAGTTCTACAAAAGTATTGACTCAAGGGGGCAGAATACAAATGCATGTCACGCTTTTCAAATATTTGTAAAAAATTTTGAAAACCATTTATCATTTTTCTTCCACTTCACAATTATGTGCCACTTTGTGTTGGTCTATCACATAAAATCCCCAAAAAATACATTTACATTTTTGGTTGTAACATGACAAAATATGCATCCATTTTGAAGTTAAATTCATGTTGGACAATAATCTGCATAGTAGCAGATTGTAAACGGTAGATATTTAGAAATATGAATATTTTATAAGAAACTGTATTTGGGACTTCGTCATAAACGTGGTGACCTCCCAGCACCCACCCCTTAAACTAGATGATTGGTCAGATGGTCTCTGTCAACACCCCCTTTGATGTCAGATAAAAAAGAGATTTCAAGCAAATTTGATAGCTCTCATTTAACCATCAATGAAGGAATGTCTGTCAAGTTATGAGAGCCGATAACACCTTGCTTATTAACTGAACTCTGTTTTCAACTCCTTTTTCTCTTGTTGCTTTATTTCTTTGTAACACCTTTTTTTCTGTAAATATTTTATTTGGACCATTGTGACCTTTTCAGTATTAAACCCTATTAGGAAAAGTGTTGAAATTGTCTCCCACTCAGTCAAAAGGGAGTGGTGGTAGCTTAAAGAGTAAATTGCTAATTAACCAGTGACAATCTCTCTCAGGCTGCTGGCATCTAGATTGTGGTCTCATGAACTGGAAAATTTAGTGCAGGGTGCTATCAGTATGGCAT